TAATTTAACGAATGTTTACCTCAAATAAATTTGAACACATTATGAAAAAGTGATGTAAATGTTTGGTTCGTTAGTTAATGTGTGAATTGAGTACTAAATAACTCTATACTAAAGCCTGTCTTGAAAGAGGTACAGATTATTAGTAGCGGCCACTGCTATGATATTCTCGTTGGGATGCCACGCCGTGTGCAGAATCTTGCGGTTGAAGTCTAGACTGTCGACACTGATCTCCTCCTTCTTCTTCTTACCCGTTGTGCACACCTTTCATGTCAAGCAAACAGACAGTCATTACAGCGGCATTCATAGCCATTATATACAAAACACTCACTCGTCTCGGCTTTAATATAGTGCGCGGTTTCGCGATTTCTTTGGACGCCTCGAGCATTACATCACGTTTTGTCTGGCGATCGAAAATCTTGAAGAAGTTATTATAGGAACCCGTCATTATGTAACTGATCCACAAAACAAGACAAACCACACATTAGCACACAATCTTGTCATCAATGAGATAATGGTAACTCACGAATCGGTTCCATTGAAACAACACTCAAATTTGTCGAAAATGTAATCGTTTTCATATAAACTGCAGAGTTTTGAACGTAAATATTCGTGAACTAAATATGACTCAATGGGTCGCGAATCCATGTGGAGATCCCATACTTTCACAGATAAGTAGTCGCGAGATATCATATATCGGCCGTTGTTTGAGAACTTAATGCCCGAAATACTGGATATTATTTCCGAGAAAAAACTCCTATTCGTCGGGTCTTCGGGCTCTTCGAAAACTGCAACAACAGAGACAATGCGTTAGTGATGGCAATAAGTGTGGCACAGGTAGGCAAGTGTGGCACTAACTCTTGGCGTGTTGATCACACAGAGCTGCGGCCCTCATATCGCACAGACGTATAATCCCTTTACTACTGCTGTAGACAAACAGATTACACTGAGACGGATGGAACTCCGCTGCGGTTATTACTTCAGTTAACTCCTCCATATTGACTGGCTTTATGTCCACGATATCTGAATAGTCATACATTCAATACAATTACATACAATCCAAGACTCAACAAGAAAATGCATTCAAAATACTAAACACTCACTAAAGCTCTCATCTGTAATCTCGAGGTTCCAGAGATTGATACGGAGATCATCGGCGGACAGGTAGGTCTCCTGATCACTGTTCACTGATATAGAGTTAATATGATAGGTGTGCGCGTTGGCGAATATTCTTCGAGGACTAGCTTCCACTGTGAGATCCATGGATGTAAGGATAGGCACTCGCAGTGAGGTGACAGAGTTGGGGTCCCTTAACACCTGTCCGCTGTCGTCCTTCAGGTTATAGCCGTCGATGCGTTTGTCCCGTTCGGACACTTTCCACAATTTAATGGTCTTATCGTTGGTCGACAATAGAAAGTTTGCCGCATTCTTCCGCCTTAACCACCGAATTTTGTTTATCTTCTCCTCGATCTCAAGACTTTTTAAGTAATCAAACTCCGGTTCATGGCTTTGGAAAGTACTGTAAACGTTGTATTCGGTTCTCCTGGGGTTTGGCACCGACTGTAACACACAATCGCACGAAATGAGACAATTGGACACAAATGCAGACAATGTTTGATAGTGTTGTCACACAAGAGGTCACCCACCGATTGGTCCCTTTGGAAAATGACTACTCGTCCGCCTTTGTCGCCGGTGGCCAACAGCTCACCGTCGCTGTTGAACTCAACACATGATATAATGTCCGCTATTATCACAAATACAATCCATTAATACAAACATCATTGCAATCATACAAATGGTGGTACAAACCATCGGTCACTTCATCCTCGAGAGTTCCCTTGACCTGAGAGAAAGTCCATTGGATTTCGCCGTTTCCTTCAATCATAATAAAAGTCTACAATTAATACACAATTCATTTGAATTACAGGTAAGCCTCAGGACTTAACTATCATTTCTAAACATTATATTCAGACAAATAAATCAACAATTTATGTGATTATGAGCTTAAGAGCAGCGAAAACAAGCGATTATTAAACCATTTCTTGAAAACGATTTTCAAAATGAAAACACATTTCACGTAAATATTTGACGAAAAAGTGAAGACAAATACAATATATTAATCGATAAGTTATTAATACAGAAATAATCAAACGCTTTGTGTTTTTGGCTTATATTCAATGATTTAAATGCGAGAAACTGTTACAATGATTGGGAACTAAATCAAAGGTTAGGTTAGGTTAGGTTAATGATAGGACAGGTATTTATTGATTAAGACTTTTATATGAAAGCATTCACTCATTTGAATACAAGTCTAACACAAAACCAATGAGTGATTTAGTGTTGACTTGAAGTGCAAAAAGAGTCAACACTTGTCTGAGAAATAAGTTTCAAATACAGAGAGAATGGGAGAGAATAGGAGAGCAGAGAGAGTGAAGTGTTGGTGAGTGTCGAGGGCTGACAGCACAGCACCGGTAGGTATGAAAGGGCTGAGCGATGCTCGCGGATCACAGTCGAGCCATCACTGCACCGACACTACACACACACCACTCATACAATACTACAGTATATACACGATATACGCGACTATTATTACATTTACCTGCCATTGGATGCACACGTTATCTGTAGTACTGTTAATACAATTCAATTCAATTGACTAACTCTTAGCACAACACTATTGACAACAATTATCACCACAATTGGTCACTACTTCAACCACAGGTCACTCGTAATCGCAATGCAAATCATCACTCATTAGTATCACCAATATTACCATCAATGTCTTAATTGTACAAAACATTGAGCCATTCAATGGTTAATTAGAAAACACTTTCATATAAATAATGAGTTAATATAATATACAGATTACTATAAATGCAA